TAGCTTTATTACTGTTTATTGTTATAGCTTGACTTGACTAAACCTTCTTCTCAGTCTTTAATTTATGCAAGAAGCAGTGCAACCTGGGCTTGTACATATTTCTAATACGCTTGGAGAAAATTTAACTCGCCTAAATAGATTTTATACTCTTTAAATGTCCACTCAAAGTCTGACTTTATAGCCTAAACTCTGGCCTTCCTCTTAACCTTCAGCGTTTTCTCGTTAAAGGCACGTGCTGAGGCCTGTCGGGCCAGAGCTGCTAATAAAAGTCGTACTTAAGTGGTGTATAAGAATTTTGCCTCATAACTCATCATTTATAACCCACATGACTAGTTATATGAGTTGTAAACTAACTTATTTGAACAATAGATAGTAGTTCGTAATCAGCTATATAAATTTTATACCAGCCGCACTCAAATCAAAGAAGGATTTTACGTTTTGTTTGTCATCATACATTTTAAGGGATCTAAGCCTTAATTCTTTATTATATTCTTTTGTTATTGTTTCTTCTGAAATAGTTACAAACATTCATAAATAACTGTTATGCTCAACTACTTGATTTCATATCACGGGTCATTGGTCACTGTTTTAAGCTTTTATAAAGCTTATTTAACGCCAAAGTTTTATTTACTCATAAAAATCCGATTTTTTCATAACCCGGGTTTTGGATAAATGGTGATCATTATTTTTAAATCATTATATCCTTTGCCAATTGCATAATTTTAAGTATCTGTTAAAATAGGCTGAAAACCTACCCAATAAACATGTCTCATTATATGCTTGTACATTTACACTTAAGATATTATAATGGTAAGGAGTCATTAATCTATCCTTTGGTGTAAGTACTCATCTAAGCATTTAAAATGACCTTTGGGTTAGATTATCTCTCTTGCTTCACCTAAATCCGGTTCTTATTATCCTTTTTTATCTTTCTTTTATTTTCATTCATACTGAATACATAATTTTCAAGCTATCTCTAGATAGTATTTTTACAGTCTCTATTGTTATGGTGATATAAACAAAATTTCAATCTTTTTTCCCATTTTTCTATTTATTCTCGTTGACATGCTAGTCAAGACTTGATCCGCCGCTGATTGCCATCGGAAGCTCCGCTAGTGATCCCTCTTCACCAGGCATCGAGGAGGCTCCTGAAGGTGGCGTTACAGGTGCAACCTCGACTACAATGGCTGCAACACCTGCCTCCTCCAGCACCAGTGGAGGACTCCATCTCGTGGGATCGAGCTCGATTCTCTTTGCCCCGGTCAACACCGCCCCAGCCACCACAACCGGGATGGCCCGTCTTGTGCTCTACGAGTATCGCGAGCCTCGACGCCACTGGGACCTAGTGGAGGAAGTGTGCCAAATTGGCGCTCCAGTCCACGATCTGGCTTTCGCCCCTCATATGGGCCAATCTTACCACAGTCTGGCCGTAGGCGCATCTAATCAAGTCTGTGTGTTACGTATAACATCAGCTGCGGTTGCCTCAGCCATGGCCACCAATGAAATTGGTCTTCTTGGCGGTGGGCTCAGCGCAACAAATAAAAGTGAACCAATATATACATAATTAGATTACTTTTTAGACATACGAGGTCTTAGGTATAGCAACAATCATAGATATCTTTTAACTGATTCATTCTGAAATAAAATAACAAATACGATAGCTATTTCCATGCAAAATTTTCTGGCTCAAGAGGCTAGTGCAGACCATCATAAAATCTCTATATTTGACACTTTTCATGGCTTAGCAAATCGTAAGTAGGCTGAAAGAACCAGGGTCGAGTTAGGAGGATGAATTAAAGTAGAGGTTGAATGTTAAATGGTGGAGACCATCTCGATACACCTTAAATTTACTTTGAACCTTATAAATCTGCCAAAGCAAGGCGAAAATGATTAGGTGCTATTTGAAATAAATGTTTTTTTGGCTTATTATCTAACCTGGGTTAAAGGGCTATGATATGATTGCTACTCCTGAGATAAATTTGTCAAAAATGTTTAAATATCTCGGCTAATTGTAGTGAGTTTGCTCATTGCATGTAATCAATTCCGAAGCTTTGAC